CTGTCCCAATAGTAACCTGCTCTGATCACCTTTCGGACGAAGGAATCGGCACCGGAGTGATTTCTGCAGGTGCCCTCGTGGATTTCTCGGACCACGTAATCTGTGTCCCCCGGTCCCAGGCATACCGCTAGGGGCCCGTCAAAGGTTCTTCTGTATAGAGTTCCATTTTTGTCGAGTGAGAATCGGGCTGCTGTGGTTCGCAGAGCCCTCGACTCTTTTGGGTCCGCGGGTAGCTTCCCATTTTCCAAATAATCGATATATTTGTTTCTCCAATCCCATGTCAGGCTAGTGGAGTTGATCTCAGCGTGGGCTTCCTCGATCACTGATTTGGATAGCTAAACAACAGCCCCAGGGAGTATGTCATCTTCCTCGACGGATGATCCCAGGTTTGCGAGAGCATCGGCCTCGCTATTTTATTCTCGAGGTATGTGGACCAGAGTCCATTCTTTGAAGCGGTGCAATGTGACTTGAATTTTGTCTAAGTATCTTTGCATCCTGTCGTCTCGAACCTCGAATTTCCCATTTACCTGGTTTACCACCAGAAGGGAATCACATTTTTCTTCGATGACATCCGCTCTTAGGCCTTTGGCCAATTCCAGACCTGCAATCATAGCCTCATACTCGGCTTCGTTGTTAGTCAATTTTGCAATTTTTATAGATTGCCTAATCATGCCGCCCGTAGGTGGCTTCAGGACTATACCGAGTCCGGACCCTTTCACGTTCGAGGCGCAAACGGTGAACAAAGTCCATACCCCCGAAGATGTGCCTATTTTTTGTAGAAGTTCTTTCTCTACCTCGGGCACGAGGGCGGGTGTGAAGTCAGCCACAAAATCCGCCAGAATGTGGGACTTCATAGCCGTTCGGGGTTGGTATTCGATATCGTACCCCCCGAGTTCGATTGCCTATTTGGCCAGACGGCCTGATAATTTGGGCTTATGCAATATGTTTCGAAGAGGATATGTCGTTAAAACATAAATACGATGGCATTGAAAATAAGGCTTTAATTTTTGAGATGCGCTTATTAATGCAAGAGCTAACTTTTCTAGGTGCGGATACCTGGTTTCGGCATCTCCCAGGGTCCGACTTACATAATAGACAGGGAATTGTGTAGCTTGCTCCTACCTCGGACACAGCCAGGTACAAATACAGCGTTTCATCCTCCTTTGGGGTGTAGAGTAAAGGTAGGTTCGTCAGATATCGCTTCAACTCCTCTAAGGCACCTTGGCATTCCGGAGTCCACTTGAAGCTGTTTTTCTTTTTGAGTAAGGAGAAGAAATGATGACTCCTGTCTGACGACCTCGATGAGAATCGGCCCAAGGCTGCTATTTGCCCAGTCAGCCATTGCACGACTTTCACATTGTTTACCACCGTGATCTCTTCGATGGCTTTGATTTTATCGGGGTTGATCTCAATCCCTCTATTTGACACCATGAAGCCTAAGAATTTTCCCGAACGCACTCCGAAGGCACATTTCTCGGGATTGAGTTTCATGTTATAGCTTCTGAGGATGTCGAATGTCTCCTGCAAATGAGTTAAATGGTCCTTTGCGCAGGGACTTAACTAGCATATCATCAATGTAAACTTCATTCGAACATCTTATTAACTAGGCGTTGGTACGTTGCTCCCGCATTTTTTAGCCCGAAGGGCATCACATTGTAGCAGTACGTACCGTACTTCGTGATGAACGAAGTTTTTTTCCTATCCTCGGGGTTCACCCGAATTTGATTATACCCCGAGTAGGCGTCGAGAAACGTGAGGATCTCGTGGCCGGCCGTGGCATTGATCAAGTGGCCGATGTTGGGCAACGGGAATGAATCTTTGGGGCACGCTCTATTTAAGTCTTTATAATCTACGCACATTCTTAACTTATCCCCTTTTTTGGGAACTACCACCACATTGGCCAACCAATCGGGTTTACTTCCCTAATAGATCCTATTTTGAGGAGTTTTGTTACCTCATCCTTGATGAACGCGTGTTTTACCTCGGACTGAGGTCTTCTTTTTTGCTTTACCGGTTTGAACCTGGGGTCGACACTTAGTCGATGGGTGGTTATTTCCGGCGGGATCCCTATCATATCTAAATGGGACCACGCAAAGCAATCGATGTTATTAATAAGGAATTGGATGAATTTTTCCTGAGCTCGGGGGTTAATCCCGTTCCCAGGTATACCTTCCGATCTGGGAGATGCTCGATCAAAACGGCTTGCTCGAGCTCTTCAACTGTTAATTTTGTTGCATCCGACTATTCGGGGCAACGAAGGTTCGGGGAGCGAGGAAGTCTTCTTGGTCGTTCTCGGGGGCCTGTTTGCCCTCCGGCTCCTCCGAGGTGGAGGGTATTGAAGTTGGTGCCTCCTCATGAACCGCAAACATCTCCTTCGCCGCTTGGTGTTCTCCGTATACCGCTTTTATACCGTCTTCTGTCGGAAACTTTATCTTCTGATGAAGAGTTGACGGTACTGCCCTCATGTTGTGTATCCATGGCCTTCCAAGTAATGGATTGTACCTCATGTCACCTTCGATGACATGAAATTTTGTGTTTCGAACTGTGTCGGACACGTTTATCGAGAGGGTGATCTCCCCCTTTGTTGCTTCGCCGGCCATGTTGAAGACATTGAGGACTCGGGAGGTAAGTATGATTTGATCGAGCAATTCGAGCTATTCTACCACCTTCGACCTGATTACGTTGGCCGAGCTATCTGGATTCACGAGTACACGTTTAATTTGAACATTATTCAAGAGAAATAAAATTACAGCGCCATCGTTATGGGGATGAGACAAGGTCTCGAAGTCCTCTTCAGTAAATGCAAGGATGTCCTCGGGCATGCGACCCCGAATTTTCCCTTCTGTTGCAGCGGAAACTTTTTCCCGCTTGATCACGGATCCTTGAGGAATGTCGGTCCCCCCAATGATCATATGAACGATGTGCTGGGGTTTTCCCGTTCCGTTCCTCCTGTCTGCCCCTCTTTCCTCCCGGGCAGGAATTTTTCGAGCTTCCTGTTGGTTTTCTTGGCATATACTCCCGTTAGTGTAGGAGTTTATACTGATGTGATGGGCGTTGTGTGAGCCCACATCCATGGGGATTGGTTCTGGTGCGCCCTCAGGGTTTCGTAGTGGTACACCGGCGCCTAGAACAGCTACACCATTCTCTCCATGGTCCTCAGGACCGTTGTTTTCATGTGCATTTACTGAGTTAGACATTTTGGCCTGAAATCAAAGATTCTAGGACAATAAAAAGTGTGAAGAATAACTTGTGTTTGCAATAAACCAGCACGAAAACAATCACTATTATTTTTAGCCCCACGGTGGGCGCCAAACTGTTTACCTTGAAAATGGTAATTACAATTAAATTTGATTTTGTGGTTCTAAAAATACGTTATTTATTTTTATGCCAGTTGTTAGATGATAAACACTAGATGTGAGTTAGGAAAAAGAGATAAGAGCGCGAGGACAGTGTATAACGCAAACCGAATCGGAGCCTCGAGCTAGCCTAAGCTGGGCCTCGAGGTCGAGCTGATGAGCTCGATCGGGGATGACTGATGGAGAACTAACAGTTCTAAGAGCTTTGATGATGGCTCTTTATGATCAATGATGAGTAATAAACGAAGAACAATCAATAAAATACAATAAATGTAAGCAAGGTAATAAGTGCAAGCAATAAAATCAAGGGATAATATGTTTAAGTTGGAGAGCAGAGAATGTTCTTGTTCTTGTATTGAATATCATGTGTCCTACAAAATGATAAGGGTCCCCTTTATATAGGAGGGGGCATTCCAACATGGTACATATGTAACTATTACAAAGAAACATAGCTGGTACAGCTATTTACTGTCTGGTACAGACTAGTACTACTCTTGCAGGTATTGTCAGCTTTGGTCACGTGCCTTGGGAACCTCCCGCTTGTCCATGGTAGCCACTGATTTGTGCTACCCCGAGGTCGAGCTAAGGAACCCTCGGGTTTTGAACCTCGAGCTGTGCCTCGAGCGTCCCAGGTGAAGCTACGGAATGTCACAATGATCACAAAATCGAACTCTTCGATTTTAGTCGTATATAACAACTAAAAGTATAATTTTCAGATTATGCAATTAAGACTATCCACCTTGATAGTGGTGATGAATTTATATCCCATACCTTTAATAATTATTGTATATCAACTGGAATATAATTGAACATTTGATTGCATATATTCATACTCAAAATGGTCGACCAGAATCATTAATCAAATACCTCCAATTAATTACTAGACCAATGCTTATAAGAATAAAATTTTCCATCTCGCTATATGGTCATGCTATTTTGCATGCAACTCTTGTGTGGATTAGGCCACAAGTTATCATAAAGTCTCCCATTACAGTTGTTTATGATTCGGAGCCAAATATTTCTCATCTCAAAATATTTGAATGTGTGGTATATATTTCAATTGCTCTACCACAACGTACAAAGATGAGTCCTCAAAGAATATGGGAATATATATAGGTATACCCAATATTAAGAGAAGAAGATAAGCAGTTGCAATAAGAGATATATTGAAATTCATCGTCTCCGAAATATCAAGTAAAGTTTTCATCAAGGAGAGAAATACGCATTGTACTCTTTTTTTCTTAACCAAGATTTTTTCCCAGTTAGATTTTTCTGGTAAGATTTTTAATGAGGCAGCTCTCAATGCGTATTACAAGATGTGTGTACTCTTTTCCTTCACTAGGCTTTTTCCATTAGGTTTTTTCTAGTAAGGTTTTAACGAGGCACATTAACTTTTAAGTGGACATCCAAGGGAGAGTGTTTTAAATCCGGTGAATGTGGATGTCCCTTCCGTAACTCCTTTGGTAATTCATGCACCAAATAAATGAATCCACTAATTGTTGTAATTTGAGGAGATTTTTGTAACTATAAATAAAGCACTTTTGTTTTATGAATTATATATACTTGAAATAAGAAGGAAAATCTTCTCCTCCTCTCTACATCTCTTATATATTCTTGTCTTCTTCTCTCTTGGTGCTTTAGCTTCTAATTATAATATTTATTTTATAACACTTTACTAATATTTAGAAGCAGCAGTTTGAGAGTACGAACACTGTATCATAAAATAGTACCAAAGGCAACATGTGCACTAAATTTTAGCCCTCTTTAGACCAATTTCATTGGCTATTCAACACATGTAGGACACTTAATATCCACGTAAAGCACATCATTTGGCTCTAAGTTGTCTTCAAAAGTGGAATAAGACATAGTTTCTCTTCAATTTCTTTCTTCTCAGCCTTGACTCTCCATCTCTGTAAGTTTCTCAATTCTTCTGCACTTCTATTTCTTCTTTTTCTTTCGTTTTGTGTCTAACCTACGTAGAGTTTTTCCCTTCTTTTCTATCTTCAGGTTTTGCTTGATACTAATCTTCCGTTCGATATTAATTTTCCGTTCTTTTTAACAATTTCTTGCTAGAATTTTACATACATGTCTAGAATTATATCTGATTTTTATGTACATGTTTGAAAATAAATATCTAGGTGCATGTTCTTTCTTTCTGATTTTGATTGTGCAAAATGATATTTTTACTTTGATTTTGGTTTTGCAATAGTTATTCTTTAAAGATTTCAATTGAACGCGAAGAGATTAATTGATTGGGGCAACGGCGAGTTCTCCTATTATGGATAAGAAAAAGGGGGACATGTGGTATTTTGAAACGCTCAGAGTGTGATTCTGGGTTGTGTTTGAATGAAGGTATTGCTCTACATTGTGAATGATTTAGGAGTGGGTAGAGACAGATTTTTCATTTAATTTATGAGTGTCCTTGAATGAATTATACTTAAAATGTGGGAATTTCAACTCAGCGTGTGATGTGTTTGATGATATCCCTCAGCCACCTTAGTTGAAGTTTCCTGTTGTGATTTTCCTTTTCGGGCTACATGTTCATGGTACCTTTACTATGAAAGGACCTGAAAATAAATATTTCTGTAAGTATACAATATTGTGTTATTTCGATGTGGCAAGTAATCTTTGAATCGTTGCAAGAAACTGGTTGAATCCATGGCGCCTTTCTTACTAGGTATCAACAACTTTTTCCATTTATTTTAGTGAGCTTTTTCTTGGTTGTCTGCTTTTGGGATAGTTTCCACGATTGAAATATAAAGAAAGAGACAAAATCAAATATGCATAAATCAGATCATATAAAAACACCCTCGTAGAAAATAAATTACCCACAAATATTGAACTATGCTGAAGAATATAGCAGCAAAGCAAATACGACTTTAGATGCAGACTGAATATTCTAAATGAGTCATCATTAAAATATAATAATAAAAAATTACATCGACCCAAGCAGATTATTTGTCTGACCTTTTGTTTGTCATTGTGTCTATCTGCAGTCAATTATTAGTCTTTTTTGGTCGTCTGTTGATTAAATTTGTGCTTGCATGTTAATCATTTCTCCTAATTTTGCAATCGTCCTTTTATTCTCAAAAAATTTATTTTTTTACCAGAATATCATAGCACTAAAAGGCAACATCAATCAAATAATAACTGACACACCAAATTGGATATGCATGGTCCAAATTATCATAGGTCAAGAACGAGAGAGTCCTGAGAAAAAAGTTAGATTTCAAAATTTGATTTTCGAGGATGAAGAAGTAATTATGTCTACAGTAGCATCATAAATTCAACTTTCTACAATTATAATCTACTGCATTTATAACAAAAGTTGACACTTTACAGGAGCAACAAATTCGGAAAATTGTGTATGGCGATGTCATTCCATATTATGCTGACAAGCTTAACTCTTCCAGCCATATCTAATATCTGCTACAAAAGTTAAAGTTACATCAACTTTATACGGTCCACCAATATGCAAACTTTATTGGGTGCTTGATCGCGAGACTATAGTGGAACATATAGAGCCAAATAATGAGAGTGAGAAAGCACTACTACCACCAACGAAGTTGAATATCACTTCTTTCAACCACATTGCTCATACGACTCCACATACTGCTACAGAAATTGGTTATTTACTGTTACCTTGATGAAATATTTGGCTTCTATGGAATAAATATATACCCCTCATTATATTTCTTCGCTCTGAAAAAATTAGTGTGATCTTTTTCCAAGCAGATATACTAGTAGTTGTCGTCCGTTGTGGCTGTCTAAGCCGGGAGGTTTTGTTTTTGGTTTCATAGTGTTTTGGGACACTTAGTCCCTAAACGAAAGCTTAAGACTTAGGATTTTGACCGTAGCCGGAACTGTGTGAAGATAACTCCAGAAGGGAGTTTCGTTGGTTCCATTAGCTCCGCTGGGTGATTTTATACTTAGGGGCATGTTCAGATTGTGTTTTGGAGGTCTGTAGCTGATTTAGGCTTGAAATGGCAAAAATCAAATTTTTGAAAATTTTGACCAGTAGTGGACTTTTGATATTAGCGTCGGATTGAATTTTTGAAAGTGGGAGTAGGTCTGTAATGTTGAATATAACTTGTGTGAAAAATTTAGGGTCAATCGGACGTGATTTGATAAGTTTCGGCATTGGTTGTAGAAGTTTGAAGTTTCAAGTTCATTAAGCTTGAATTGGTGTGTGATTCGTGTTTTTATTGTTTTTTGATGTGATTTAAGGGCTCGACCATGTTCGTATAGTATTTTAGGACTTGATAGAATCTTTGGTTGAGGTCCCGGGGGCCTCGTGTGTGTTTCGGGGTGAGTTTTGAGCGAGTCTGGGCATTTCGACACTCTGATGTTATTCCGATACTTTCAGAAGTGCGGGCCGCACATTTTGGAGTAATGAGGCAGAAGAAAAGTGCTGAGGCACAAGAAAAAGTGCTGAGGCAGAGGAAAAATGCGGACCACAGAGAAAAAGTGCGGACCGCAGAATTCTTCTTGCGGCCACACTTCAGGGTGTTCTGCAGGTTCGCTGATCCGACTTCGGAAGCTTATATCTTTTGATCCACAAGGAATTTGGAGAAGATTCAAAAACGAAAGTTGTAGCCTTCGTGTCTAGTTTCCAGAAAGGTAAAGAAGCCATCATTTGGACATTTGTACAGAAAATTATGGACATTATACTAAAGCCTGATAGGGCAGAATTTGCTGAAGTGCGGCCGCAATCCTGGGATGTGCGACCACACTTGAAAATGTGTGGTCAGAAGTTTGGAAGGCAGCTTTAGTACTATATAAACAAGGGTTAGGGTATTATTTCACATTTTGGACTTTGGGAGCTCGGTTTGTGATGATTTCTCGTGGGTTTTTCAAGAAAATCATCGGGATTTGGGCCATTTGGAGTCGGATATTCGTGGAAAAGGCATTGGTACCGATTGATTGAGCTTGGTTCGAGGTAAGTGGCTTGTCTAACCTTGTGTGGGGGAAATCCCCTTAGGATTTGGGGTTGTTATGATATATGAGCGCGGTGTACGCGAGGTGACGAGTGCGTACACAGGCTATTTGTTGAAAAACCTAATTTTTACTGAGTAATTACCCGTTTTCATCTTATTTGAGTATATTAGCATGTGTAGTTATCCTGTTAGCCTAGAGTAGCATGTCTACGTGCTTTAATTGCCTATCTGAACTCTTTGCAGCATGTTTAGCGGATTCCTGCTTCTTTTCTTGACTTGTACTTAGTCCAAATTGTAGGTTTTCTTGTCGTAACTGTCATCTTCATTTTTTTTAGCTGCGTATTTACTTTGGGACTACGGGACGGTATCCTGGTATATTTTCCTACATGTTTACTTTTGAGACTACGAGGCGGTACCTCGGGAGTTCTCCCTGCATATTTACTTTTGAGACTACGAGGCGGTACCTCGGGAGTTCTCCCTGCATATTTATTTGGGACTATGAGACGGTATCTTGGGAGTTTTCCCGCTGTTTAACATGTGTGTTGTAATATTATTTGATACGTTCCTTTCATTAAATTCTAGTCTAATATTATACTGTATATCTCCTGCCTTATTTATTATTTACCAGTGGGCCTGACTTGACCTCGTCACTACCGACCGAGGTTAGGCTTGGCACTTACAGGGTACTATTATGGTGTACCCATGCTACATTTCTGTACATGTTTTCATGTGCAGATCCAGGTACATCATTCCAGTCTCGCTATTAGTTGTGCACCTGCTGGTGTTACGGAGACTTCAAGGTACATCTGTCGCGTCTGAAGACCTAGGAGTCCCCCTCTATCTTTTGTGTAGTTCTTCCTCTACTACTTCTAAACACTGATGTATAGAACAATTAGTAAATTCTTAGAAGCTTGTGACTTATGATGTTCCGGGTCTTCGAAAAATGCTGTATGTATTTCTGAGAGTTGTTATTGTATATGTCGAGCGGCATTTCTATCAATTGTTTCATTACTATGCTGTTAGTGGTTTAGATTTGTGTTTTCATTTTCGTTGTTATTCCACAAATGTAAGGCTTTACCTAGTCGTAGAGACTAGGTGCCGTCACGGCCTCTCATGGAGGAAAGATTGGGTCGTGACAAGTTGGTATCAGAGCTATAGGTTCATAAATATCGTGAGTCACAAGCCAATTATTTAGAGTCGCGCGGATCGGTACGGAGACGTCTGTACTTATCTTCGGGAGGCTATGGAACTGATAGGAAAGCTACACTTCTTTGATTTCCTTGTCGTGCGAAAATTTGTTGACTTCGAAATACTAAACTTCTGTCTACTATTCACTCACAGATGGTGAGGCCACGTATAGCTGGAGATGACCAAGCACCCGCGCCCCCTGCTAGAGTCGCCAGAAGCCGGGGCCGGGGTAGAGGTCGAGGACGTCCATGTGGTGCAGCAAGAGCACCCTGCCACAGAGGAGCCACCAGTAGCTCCAGTTGGAGCGCAGGCACCTGAGATGCCTACTACTACTGCACCAGCTTTCCTGGAGACTCTAGCCCAGTTTCTGAGCATGTTCAGCACCTTAGCTCAGGCTGGATTGATTCCCCTTGCTCCTGCCACATCTCAGTCTGGGGGAGGAGCACAGACTCCCGCCGCCCACACCCCAGAGCTGTGAGTTCAGGTCGATCAGATTCCAGAGGTTACAACGGTGCCACCTGTAGCCCAGTTCAGCCCGAAGGGCAGCAATTTCTGAGGAGGAGCAGCATAGGCTCGAGAGGTACAAGAAGTACCACACTCCTACCTTCATTGGTTTGGCGACAAAGGATGCTTAGGGCTTTCTGGAGGAGTGCCATCGTATCCTCCGTATTATGGGCATAACAGAGTCGAGTGGGGTTTCCTTCATTGCGTTTCAGCTTAGAGGAGCAACCTATCAGTGGTGGCGTGCTTATGAGTTGGACAGTCCGGCTGAGGCAGCTTCACTTACATGGACTCAGTTCTCGGACATATTTTTGAGGGAGTATGTTCCCAGAGCCTCAAAGATGCATTGCGCGCCGAGTTTGAGCAGTTGCGCCAATGTGCTATGACTATGTCAGAGTATGCAGTTCGTTTAAGTGATTTGGCTAGACATGCACCGGCCTTGGTTTCTACAGTTCGAGAGAGGGTCCATCGATTTATTGAGGGACTCCATCCTAGCATCAGGACTAGCATGGCCCGGGAGTTAGAGATGGATATTTGGTACTAGCAGGTTGTAAGTATTGCTAGGAGAGTGGTGGGCATGCTTGCTCAGGAGAGAGAGGAGAGAGAGGCCAAGAGGTCTCGAGAGACTAGTTCTTATTCTGGTGCTCGTGCCCCAGCTGCAGTTTGACATGGTAGGGGCTATGTGAATCGCCCCAATCATTCAGCTCTTTCAGCCACCAGTGGTATTCCCCAGGAGGCTTATTATGCACCGCCAATATCTAGTATGCCTCATGTATGCGGTGTTTCCAGCGGTCAGTCCAGCAGACCTGGCTTGAGGTAGCCACAACAGCCACACCCTCTCAGAGCTTGTTTTGAGTGTGGCGACGCCCTCCATATGGTGAGGGATTGCCCAAGACTTAGGAGGGGTGCACCTCCACAGACCTATCAGCCACCACGTGCTCCACCGAGTCCTCAGGCTATGGTTACAGCACCAGTTACCACTCGACCTGCTCAGCTAGCTCGAAGTGGAGGTCGGGGAGGTAGAGGTCGCCCTAGAGGGGGAGGCCAAGCCAGATACTATGCTCTTCCTGCTTATACAGAGGCAGTTGCTTCTGACACTATCATTACAGGTATTGTTCCGGTCTGTCATAGAGATGCGTCGGTTATATTCGATCCAGGCTCCACTTATTCCTATGTGTCCTCTTATTTTGCCCCGTATTTTGGTGTATCTCGGGATTTTTTGAGTTTCCCCGTTTATGTGTCTACTCCTGTGGGAGATTCTCTTGTTGTGGACCGCGTGTATCAGTCGTGTTTGATTGCTCTAGTGGTTTTGACACCCGAGCCGATTTATTATTGCTCAGCATGGTAAACTTTGATGTTATCTTGGGCATGGACTAGTTGTCGCCTTATTATGCTATTCTTGATTGTCACGCCAAGACCGTGACACTAGCTATGCCAGGCTTACCACGGTTAGAGTGGAGGGGTACCTTAGATTACACTCCCATCAGAGTTATTCATTTCTTAAAGCTCAATGAATGGTTGAGAAAGGGTGTGACGCGTATCTAGCTTATGTGAGAGATGTCAGTATGGATACCCCTATAGTTGAGTTAGTCCCAGTAGTGAGGGATCTCCCTGATGTATTTCCGGCTGATCTTCCAGGCATGCCGCCCAATAGAAATATTGACTTTGGCATTGACTTGTTGTTGGGCACTCAGCCCATTTCTATTCCTCCATATCGTATGGCTCCTCCTGAGTTGAAGGAGTTGAAGGAGAAGTTACAGGAGTTGCTTGATAAGGGCTTCATCTAGCCCAGTGTGTCACCCTGGGGTGCTCCGGTTTTGTTTGTGAAGAAGAAGGATGGTTATATGCGTATGTGCATTGATTATCGCCATTTGAACAGAGTTACAATGAAGAACAGGTATCTATTGCCTCGTATTGATGACCTATTTGATCAGTTACAGGGTGCCAGGTGTTCTCCAAGATTGACTGGCGTTCAGGCTATCATCAGTTGAAGTTTCAGGAGCCAGATATCCCAAAGACTGCCTTTAGGACTCAATATGGTCACTACGAGTTCCTCGTGATGTCATTTGG